TCAATATATAGAAATTGGTAGTTTATATTAAAAAACAGATTATATGGCTTCCCTGGAAAAATCGAATGATTCTGGTCATGTAGGTGCACATTTCTGTATGACAAAATCAATTGGATAGAGCACCCACTGCTTCTTTAGAAAGGGGTGTAGTTCCTACCTAGGTTTTTGTGCAACCTGCTTAGTCCCTGCCTACATTTAAGTTCCTGATCTCTGGATTAAATTGACCATAGGGGTGTAGATACTCTATTCCACGACATGTTAGAAGAAAACCAAGAGAATCATTCAAACATCCAGACCCAATAAATACAAAGAACCCCAAATAGAATGAACCCAAGAAGATCCTCTTTACAGCATATAATAGCCAGATTGATCAAAATCACAAAGACAAGATTCTAAAAATGGCAAGAGAGAAACATCGAGTTGCTTACAAAGGTTATGCTATTAGGCTAACATCAGACCCCTCAATGGAAACAATGCAAGAAAAGAAAGAATGTGAAGATATATTCAAAGTGTCAAAAGAAAAAAAATATTTGAACCGAGAATACTATACCTGGCAAGATTATCCTTCAAATGGGAAGAAAAGATAAAAAAAAAAAATTCTCAAATAAACAAAATAGGAAAGAATTTACCAACACTAAACCAGCTCTTCAAGAAGTATTGAAGGGAGTACTATATCAGGAAAACTAAAGAAAGACAGACAAAAATAAGGACAGAAAAGAAAAAAAAAACACCAAGAACATGGCTAACAAAATGGCAGGGACAAGTCTGAAAATAATAATTATATAGAATGTTTTCATTTTTAAAAGAGATATTTTATTTAATTTTATTTATAATTATTCTCATTTTTCAGTTTGCTGCAGGGCATATGAGACAGAAACAGACACAGAGAGAAAGAGAGAGAGGAAAGTGAGAAAGCAAGGCACCAGGTCCAGCCCTCACACCATAGTCAGTCATGAAAGAGTCCAGCACCTTAACCACCATGCAACCTACTGGCCCCAACATTGAATGTTAATGGTTTAAATTCTCCAATCAAGAGAAACAGACTGGCTGCATGGATTAAAAAATGGAAACCCTCTATTGACTGCCTACAAGAAATGCACCTCATGGATAAAGAATACATAGACTAAAAGTGAAAGACAGAAAAAAAGGTATTTCATGAAAATGAAAAACAAACAAACAAACAAAAGGCTGGAGTAATGATACTGATTTCAGGCAAAATAAGCTTTAAGACAAAAACTGTAAGAAGAGATAAAGAAGGACATTATATAGTACTAAAAGGAATAATTCATTAAGATATAACATTTATAAATATCTATGCACTCAACTCAGGAGCACCCAAATACATGAAAAGAAGACTGCTAAATCTAAAAGGAGAGGTAGACTGCAACACACTAATCACTGAGAATCTCAGCACCCTACTATCTCCTTTCGACAGATCATCTAAACAAAGAATAAGCAAAGAGATACAAGATCTAAACAATACCATAAATCAAATGGACTTGACAGACATCTATAGACCTACATAACAACCACAAAATATAAATTTTTCTCATGTCCACATGGAACCCCTTTAAAGATTAACCACATGATAGGGCACAAAACAAGCCTTTAAAGATTCAAAGACATACAATCTATATCCAGCATCTTCTCTGACCATGATGGAATTAAACTTGATATTAACTTTAGAAAGAACCTTAAAAATACAAAAACATATGAAAACTGAGCAACCTACTCCTAAATTACTTCACAACCGCTAAAGAAATTAAGACTGAAATCAAAAGATTCATTGAAACCAATGATAATTAGTACACAAGTTTCCATAACCTATGAGGCACAGAAAAAGCAGTAATAAGAGGGGAGATTATTGTAATTAATGTGCATAAGAAAAAGAAGGAAAGGTAGCAAATAGACAACCTACCAATATTATTCAAGGAACTGTAATAACAATAACAACAACAAGTGCCAAGAGGAAAGAAATAATAAGAACTTGAGCAGAAATAAATGCAATAGAGAATAAAAGAACACTACAATACAGAAAATAAGTGAAACCAAAAGCTATTTTTTTGAGAAGTTAAATAAAATTGAACACCATTCACTAGACTAATTAAGAAGAAAGGACCCAGATAAATAAAATGAGACAAAGACATAATGAAAAAGGAAAACTACAGACCAATATCTCTGATAAATATAGATGCAAAAATTCTCAACAAGACGTTAGCAAATTGTATCCAACAACACATTAAAAAGATTATACATCATGACCAGGTAGGCTTTATTCCAGAGAAGGAAGGATGGTTCAACACATGCAAAACCGTAAATGCAATATACCATATTAAGAGAAAGAAAGATAAAAATTACATTATCATATCAATCAATACAGAAATAGTATTTGATAAAATACAGCTTCCTTCATGATTAAGACAGCAAAATCAAAATAGAAGGGACATTTCTCAACACAATCAAAGGCATATATGAAAAACCCATAGCTAACATCATACTGAAGGGAAAAGTCAAAAGTTTTTCCACTAAAAACTGGTCCAAGACAGCTGGTACGCAGGGATGATTGTCAGCTGATGCGGCACAGCAGTCATCTTGTGGTTACCAGGAATGGTGTTGTGGGGGTCTGCAGTCATGAAGTTTATATAACTTGAGAAAAGCATGCTGCTGCTTCTTTAGAGCAAATGTGATGAGCAGTCCCTCGTACCAGAGCTAATGTGCAGACAGCTTTACACATGAGGATCTAGGAATAAGCCACACCAATCTTTCTCTTGTTTTCCTCAACTTATCATATCTTCCAAATATAATTCCACAGTCCTCCACATGTTTTCAAGAGCAAAGACAATGAATACATCTCTGGGATTGGTGTCAACAGAAAAGAAAAAAAAAACACCAAGAACATGGCTAACAAAATGGCAGGGACAAGTCTGAAAATAATAATTATATAGAATGTTTTCATTTTTAAAAGAGATATTTTATTTAATTTTATTTATAATTATTCTCATTTTTCAGTTTGCTGCAGGGCATATGAGACAGAAACAGACACAGAGAGAAAGAGAGAGAGGAAAGTGAGAAAGCAAGGCACCAGGTCCAGCCCTCACACCATAGTCAGTCATGAAAGAGTCCAGCACCTTAACCACCATGCAACCTACTGGCCCCAACATTGAATGTTAATGGTTTAAATTCTCCAATCAAGAGAAACAGACTGGCTGCATGGATTAAAAAATGGAAACCCTCTATTGACTGCCTACAAGAAATGCACCTCATGGATAAAGAATACATAGACTAAAAGTGAAAGACAGAAAAAAAGGTATTTCATGAAAATGAAAAACAAACAAACAAACAAAAGGCTGGAGTAATGATACTGATTTCAGGCAAAATAAGCTTTAAGACAAAAACTGTAAGAAGAGATAAAGAAGGACATTATATAGTACTAAAAGGAATAATTCATTAAGATATAACATTTATAAATATCTATGCACTCAACTCAGGAGCACCCAAATACATGAAAAGAAGACTGCTAAATCTAAAAGGAGAGGTAGACTGCAACACACTAATCACTGAGAATCTCAGCACCCTACTATCTCCTTTCGACAGATCATCTAAACAAAGAATAAGCAAAGAGATACAAGATCTAAACAATACCATAAATCAAATGGACTTGACAGACATCTATAGACCTACATAACAACCACAAAATATAAATTTTTCTCATGTCCACATGGAACCCCTTTAAAGATTAACCACATGATAGGGCACAAAACAAGCCTTTAAAGATTCAAAGACATACAATCTATATCCAGCATCTTCTCTGACCATGATGGAATTAAACTTGATATTAACTTTAGAAAGAACCTTAAAAATACAAAAACATATGAAAACTGAGCAACCTACTCCTAAATTACTTCACAACCGCTAAAGAAATTAAGACTGAAATCAAAAGATTCATTGAAACCAATGATAATTAGTACACAAGTTTCCATAACCTATGAGGCACAGAAAAAGCAGTAATAAGAGGGAAGATTATTGTAATTAATGTGCATAAGAAAAAGAAGGAAAGGTAGCAAATAGACAACCTACCAATATTATTCAAGGAACTGTAATAACAATAACAACAACAAGTGCCAAGAGGAAAGAAATAATAAGAACTTGAGCAGAAATAAATGCAATAGAGAATAAAAGAACACTACAATACAGAAAATAAGTGAAACCAAAAGCTATTTTTTTGAGAAGTTAAATAAAATTGAACACCATTCACTAGACTAATTAAGAAGAAAGGACCCAGATAAATAAAATGAGACAAAGACATAATGAAAAAGGAAAACTACAGACCAATATCTCTGATAAATATAGATGCAAAAATTCTCAACAAGACGTTAGCAAATTGTATCCAACAACACATTAAAAAGATTATACATCATGACCAGGTAGGCTTTATTCCAGAGAAGGAAGGATGGTTCAACACATGCAAAACCGTAAATGCAATATACCATATTAAGAGAAAGAAAGATAAAAATTACATTATCATATCAATCAATACAGAAATAGTATTTGATAAAATACAGCTTCCTTCATGATTAAGACAGCAAAATCAAAATAGAAGGGACATTTCTCAACACAATCAAAGGCATATATGAAAAACCCATAGCTAACATCATACTGAAGGGAAAAGTCAAAAGTTTTTCCACTAAAAACTGGTCCAAGACAGCTGGTACGCAGGGATGATTGTCAGCTGATGCGGCACAGCAGTCATCTTGTGGTTACCAGGAATGGTGTTGTGGGGGTCTGCAGTCATGAAGTTTATATAACTTGAGAAAAGCATGCTGCTGCTTCTTTAGAGCAAATGTGATGAGCAGTCCCTCGTACCAGAGCTAATGTGCAGACAGCTTTACACATGAGGATCTAGGAATAAGCCACACCAATCTTTCTCTTGTTTTCCTCAACTTATCATATCTTCCAAATATAATTCCACAGTCCTCCACATGTTTTCAAGAGCAAAGACAATGAATACATCTCTGGGATTGGTGTCATTTGAGGATGTGGCAGTGGTCTTCACCTGGGAAGAGTGGCAAGATCTGAATGATGCTCAAAAGACCCTATACAGGGATGTGATGCTGGAAACCTACAGCATCCTGGTGTCCTTGTATGTCCAGAAAGTAGATGAACTGATTGAAAGAAGCCAACAAAATCAAGGCAGATGTTTGCATCAAGTTGTAATCACCAACATTAACATGTCAACAAACAAGACAACTGAATTAAGAAATACAGTTAATTTGAAATCTGACCATATTTCAAAACTAATTATTCCTGAAGAGTTTAATATATGTGAAAAAACTCTTCTCTGTAGTGATTCTGATGAGATGTATGCTGGTGAAAAACCTGATGCCTCTTCAATAACTGGATTTAAAAAAAAAAAAAACTGGTCCAAGACAAGGCTGTCCACTTTCTCTACTCCTTTTCAATATAGTACAGGAAGACCTAACCAATGCAATCAGGCAAGAGAATAAAATGATAAGCATTCAAATAGGAAAAGAAGAAGTGAAATTACCTCTATTTGCAGATGGCATGATTATACACATAGAAAACCCAAAATAATCTGGGAAAAAAAAAAACCTCTTGGAAGTGATAAATGAATACAGTAAAGTGGCAGGATGCAAAATCAGCGTGCAAAAATTTATAGTATTTCTATACACAAACAAAGAGTAGAATTGTAGAAAGCAATTCAAATTACAATAACCAGAAAAAGTATAAGATACCTAGGAATAAGCATAATTAAAGACATCAAAGACTTCTACAAGGAAAATTATGAGAAATTTTAAAAAGAAGTTGTAAATGACACAAGGAAGTGGAAATACATGCCATGTTCCTGGTTCAGAAGAATTAATATAATCAAAATGTCAATTCTACCCAAATTAGTCTACATATTTAATGAAATCCCAAATTGCCAGAGATATCCATCACAGATTTAGAAAAAAAAAATCATAGCATTTGTCTGGAATCATAAAAGACCCTGTATTAAAAAGCAATACTGCCCAAGAAGGGTGATGAAGGAGGCAGTTCACTCCCTGATGCCATAATATATTACAAAATTGTGATAATAAAAACAACATGGTACTGGTACAAAAACAGTCATGTACACCAATAGACCAGAACAAAGACCCCAGAAATAGACCACAAAATATACAGCCAAGTGAATTTCAACAAAGGGCACCAGACAATCCAGTGGGGAAAAGAAAATCTCTTTAGTTAATGGTGCTGGGAAAACTGCGTATCCGTCTGCAGAAAGATGAAACTGGGACCCCTAGCTCTCACTATTAACACAAATAAACTCATAATGAATAAAATATTTAAACCTAAGACAACAAAATATAAAACTACTGGTGGAAAATATGGGAGAACTCTTAGAGATATTGGAGTAGGCAAAGACTTCTTAATTAAGACCCCCAAAGCACAGGCAATAATCCCCCAAAATAGACAAGCGCGATTACATTGGGTTCAAAAGTTTCTGCATGGGGCTGGCAAACGGTGTGGTGGTTAAAGTCTCTGGACTCCCACATGGCCAACTGTGGTTCAAGTCCCGGACCTGGTGGCTTCCTCTCTCTCTCTCTCTCTCTCTCATCAAGTTTAAAAATAATAATAATAAATGAAGTTAAATGAAAAGTCCTTAAAAAAGAAAGCTTCTGCATTGCAAAAAGAAACAATGATTAGGGTGACTTGGCAGCCCTCAGAATGAGAGAATATATTTGCAAACTATGCCACAGATAAGGGACTGACAGCCAAAATACACAGGGAGTCAAGCAGTTTACCAGAAAAAAAAAATTCAACCCAATTCAAAGATGGGGAAGTCAGCTGAACAGACAACTCTTTAAGAAAGGCATACAGACAGCCTAAAATCATATTTTTAAAATGCTCAACATCCTTATCATAAGGGAGATGCAAATCTAAACCACAATGAGATATCACTTAACCCTAATCAGAAAGTCTAATATTAAAAGAAAAAAAAAAAACAATGAGGGACAAGCATATGGTGTAAATGGTTATGTCACTGGACTCCCACATTGTCAAATGCAGTTCAAGTCCTGAACTTGGTGGCTTAAAGTTCAAGCCAGGTGCATGTGCATGTGTGCTCAAAATCCCAAGAGGAGAAAGGAGGAGAAGGGATTGTGGTGTAGCTATTCCCCCTGGGGGGTGATTTCTCACTTTCTGTCTCTCCGTCTCTCCCTGTAACTCTGGCAAGCACACACAGTCTATAGCAACAGTCTCTCTAAAAAGAAAAAGAAAGAAAGAAGGAAGGAAGGAAAGACAATAAGTGCTGGTAAAGCTGTGGAGAGAAAGGGACTGTCCTACACTATTGGTGGGAATGTTAAATTAGTACAACCACTTTGGAAAACAATTTGGAGACTTCTCAAAGACCTATAAATAGAACTACCATATGATCCAGCAATTCCACTCCTGAGGATCTACTCAAAGGATAGGAATACACTCAGTCAAAGTGTACTTGCAAATCCATATTAACTGTGGCATTATTCACAATTGCTAAGACATGGAACCAACCCAAATGTCCAGGAAAAGAAGAATGGATTGAAAAAGTGTGGTACATATACACTACGGAATACTACTCAACCATAAGAAATAATGAGACCCCGGCATTTGATACAAAGTAGACAAATATGTAAGATTTACTGCTAAGCAAAGCAAGCCAAATTACAAGAGAAAGGCATGGTGTGTCCCCCCTCGATATATACCACATGTCTGCAATCTATGGCAGAAACTGAAAGATTGAAAGGTTTGTAAAGACATGGAGAACAACTATGGATACAAGAAATAGTGTGGGAGGAGAGGAATAGGGGGGAAAGGGGAAGAAAGAAGCAAAATATTTGAGGAACACAAAAAATAGAAAATTATCTGTTGATGATAGTGTGTGTGATAATATCTTTGACTGAACTAATATTCACTGTATTCATGGTGGGACGATTCATTTAGTATAGTGTAATGTTACACAGTGATTGATTGTAAAAAAGAAATAATAAAAAAAGAAATTGTAAGGATAAAAAATGAAGTTGTGTATTAACTTACCAGACATAGCAGGTTTTTTTAAAAAAGAATTATTTTATTTTCACTTTATTTACTATTATTTTCCAATTTGACCAGAGAGAGAAGGAAAGTGAGAAAGCAAGCCACCAGGTCTGGAACTTGAACCATGGTTGGCCATGTGGGAGTCCAACACCTATAACCACCACACCACCTGCTAGCCTCTAGCAAGTGTCATTCTAATTCTAGCATCATGTTTTGGGTTTTCATTTATCTATGTATTTGTCTATTTTTATGTTTAGTTATTAATTCATGAGAGAGAGAGAGAGAGAAGAACCCTCAACAGAGTCTCACACCACTAGCACCCTACCCCCATCCTCGTCCTTCCAGCCAGGTAGAACCACACTGTGCGCACACACACACACACACACACACACACACACACACACATAATCCTGGTATGTGCAGGTCAACCCAGAAACCAATCCCTGATCTTCCATATGGCCTCCAGTATTTCAGAATGTTATATTGTTGTGCTACTTGTATATTTTTGCAAATTAATATATAGTACATTTGTTTTTATAAATATATGGTTACAAGAAGTTTAACATTTATATAGATTAGTGTAATCACCACCACAATCAGGATACAAAACAGTTCCATTGCCCCCAAAACACTTCATCAAGCTATTGCTTTAAGTCACATAGCCCACTCCTAACACCTAATCTGTTCTCACCACTATTGTTTTCTCTTTTGAAAAATGTCAAGATCCGTTCTTGTGGAGGGCCTTGCCATTTGACTGGTCACTTGTGGCTGGAGGATGTGCAACAGAGAGGATGTGCGGCTCATCCCTGCCCCCACTCACCTTTGAATTCTCAGGTGTGTTGCTTGGGACTTTAAGACCTTTTGCCCCTCCCTGCTCCATTCAGACATCTGTGGCTGTACAGGGAGACAGAGATGCAAAGGGACTGTGGCTTACCCCCTGTCAAGCATCTCTGAATTCTAAGATTTCAGTGTTTTCTGAAGTACAATCCCTTCTCTGTTCCTGAATTAAAGCTCAGCAGCTCAGTCTTAGGCACACCTGTTCTCTAAGCTTTAAGACAAAAAAAAAATGTAAGAAGAGACAAAGAAGGGCATTATATACTAGTAAAAGGGCTAATTCACCAAGAAGACATAATGCTTATAAATATCTATGCACCCAGCTTTTCTCTTGTTAATCTCTTCTTCCCTCACCTAAGACAGAAAGCCTCCAGGGTTCTCCACCTCTGCCTCTGTGGGCCTCTGGGTTCAGCTTCAGGGCTGTGAAGCACTTCACCCAGCCAGGGCTCCCTTCCAGTACTAGTCAGGACAGAAAGCCTCCAGAGCTCTCCACCTCTGCCTCTGTTGGGCCTCTGGGTTCAGCTTCAGGGCTGTGAAGCACCCCATTCAGCCAGGGATCCCCCCTCCCCCCCCAGCAGACCCCAGTGCTAGTCAAGACAGAAAGCTTCCACCTCTGCCTCTGTTGGACTTCTGGCAGTTTTCCATTTTTAACCCAATTCCATTTTCTGTGACTTGATTTTTTATTTTTTTTTCCCTCTTTTTCTTGTACCACTTTTCTTCTTCTTTCTTTGCTTTTTCTTTCTCTATTTCCTACTCTTTCTCTTTTACCTTATCCCCCTATTTCACTGCTGAGCCCCTACCCACTGCCTAGAGATGACTAGGTTGTTGAACTTGTTGAATTTTAGAGAATTCTTTGTACCTCACTTTAGCGGTTGCAAAAATAGTGAAATTCCCCTTCCTAAATCTGATTGCAAAATCCCTCCTGTTTTTTCCACACTGGAGAACAGAGTAAAAGGGAGAAAAAAAAACCACCAAATTATTTCACAGTAAGGAAAAAACACGAGCTCACAGTCACATAATCCTTCTCCAACAAGTTAGGCAGAATTTAATACATTACCAAATGGCTAAAATTCAGAGAAGATCCTCAAGGATGAGAGAATCAAGTAATAACATCTCCAGCAAGGGAACACTGTAACTTGTCTCCACATAGGGAAATATTAGAGGATATTACCAAAATGTCAGGAACAGAATTTAGAATATTTATGGTAACAAAGTTCTATGAGATGCAAGAGAAAAGAGACATTGAGCTCCAAGAGATGAGGAAGTCCTTCCACGATATGAAAGAAGAATTGGACAGACAGCCATTGCAGTATATTGAGTTCCATAGAGACAGCACCGGGGCAAGTGAGAGCAGGAGAGGCACTGGGTGACTCTGCACCTCATGGAGGAAAGATAACTAAACATGGGCAAAGGAGAGCCTAAGAAGCCAAGAGGCAAAATGTCATCATGCACATTCTTTG